TCAAATTAACAGAATCCCCGCTATTTTTTGCGATGATGAGGGGCGGAAGCGAGGGTTTCGGCTATCGGTATAGAAGTTCCCTAGAACCTAGAATTGCAATATTACTACCGTTATAATTTGTTGTTTTTATAGTAGACAATTCTTGCTTTACAAACTGTGGATTCCACGAAAACTTTTCATGCTGCAGAGTGGTTTGAAATAATAATTTTTTTACCCTCACCACGCTAAATATCTTAAATGGACTTGTCCATCTTTCAATCTGGACAGAACCATTCATCATTTTTAGTGATTAGCAGTGCAGACCATGATCTCGAATGTTCTAAGTACTGATTTTGGTCTGCTCTGGTCGCATGGGTATATATATTCAGTTACCAACAGCTGGCTATGGGTTAAAGATATTTTTATCCATTCTTTAACGTTACAAAATATTTTTTGGTAAAAATGGCGGGAAAAACTGTTTTCTAAAGTCTTACCTGACTGTCCATTTCAAAAAACCACAACACCCCGTAGTTACGGTGTTTCAAACCCATGAGTGGTGTTCATTCTAATTATTTATACAATTATTTGAACTTCATAATTCCGCTGCAGAAGTACAAATTAATAAAAACAATAAATCATTAGTATTCCAGTGATTCAAAAGTTACCACTATGCGAATTTATTCATTTAAAACAAAATGCTAGCTTTACATGTGAGATATTCTAGCGGTTAACATGCTATCCTGTTGTAATTCCTGGTGAAAATAAACTCTTCAACTATATTTAATTATCCATTTTTGAAGTTTAACACTTTATCTAAAATTCCGAGTTCTTTTAAGTCCAGCGTCTTGTATTATGAATGGAATAATAAGTGATTTTATTATTAATCATTTTTATGTATGTGTATGTAATCATATGTTTTTTGTTACAGTCGCTCACATAACCATCACCGATTTCAGTTTCTTTCTATACCATTGCCCAGCACATATAGATACGCTTTAACACTATCTCACTTTTTTTCCAAGAGAAATGAAGGCCTGTTTCAGTTTTCAATTCACGCCTTGCGTTGTAAAAATACTCTTCATTCGATATTGCAAACACTAAAAATACACCACTGAAGCTCATCCATAGGCCACAATTTAAATAGATTCTTTATATCACTAATTTATTTCGATTTTCTTCTTCAAATTCTCGAGTATATACCTAAGATTTCACCGAATTGTTTGTTAATCCAGGCAAAAGTGGAACAAACAGTACGCTTGTAAGCTTTACTCTAAATTGTTTAACAACACTCTGAGGAGCATTGTGTATAGTTATACCATTATTATTATCATAAATATAATATTAGAAACCAACATTGATGTTGTTAAAGAACGCACCTGGAATAGATAAACGCGTCTACGGAATCTAGCAATTATATGAAGGTTACTTACATATTATCATTATATACAATGACATTTATATGATACCATATGTTGTGATAGGATTGATTATGAAAGATAAATATACAGAAAGAATAAAATATGAAAGAAAGGGAAAGGAAAGGTATTTTGAATGGGAATGGAATGGGGTCATAGGGATGCGACGTGACAGGACAGGGGACAGAGGACAGAACAGGATAGAATAACATAGCATAGCATAGGATAGGATAGGACCCACCTCATATATTGTTTAACATATACACTGTTATTTCGAAATCAAAACAAAATCACTATATTAACCAGGTATTGATTGGTCTTTAATCCAGTGGTGCCACGATGACAGGGCGGTCAGTTTCTGGTACATTACTATTGTGCGGTCATGAAACGTTTTAAGTTTCAAACAAAAATTAAAGCATTCAATGCAAGACAACTTTGTGTAACTCATATGTTTTGTATATAACATAAAATTTATTTTTATTAAACAATTACTCATTGTACTTTCAAGCATATCTATGTACATACGTATACACACTGCTAATATTTAGCAAATAAAAACTAGGATAAGACCTATATAAGCATCAGCTTTCGGTTCTGATCCCTTTTCATTCATTTCATTTGTTGTAAAGTTCTATTTGTAAATTGTAAATGTGTATACTTGTTTGAAATAAACTATGTTTAAACTAAAAACTTTGTATTTCATCTTAAATACCCCAAAGCGTTAAAACTACAGAAATATGCATCAATGCTGTTCATCAGTTAAACAGATACAGCCGATATTTCCCTCTGTGCTTATTATCCGCATGGCTGAATATATATGAATGGAACGGATACAGTTACGTTCTGTAGAAACAGAAACTCTGAAGAAAATACAATCACTCATTTTCTGGCGGGGAAATTTCTAAAATAGTTAATTAGAAATATGCATAAGTATACGTATAAAATGCACATTCTTTCATTGATATGGTAAAACGCGAACGAATACGTATGTTTTGATTAATCACGTGATTTCGCACTATTTTAAGATAGAAGAAATTGGTTTTGTTATTTGGGCATCGTCTGTATCTGTAGTACATGATTCGAAGCTTAGAATTAAATAGCGTGTTACATGCATAGCGATTGCATAGCTTTAAAAATGTTAATCTGAAAAGCTTGAATTGAAATATTTTTTATACTTCGAGGATAGCTTAGCGGTGATAAAAAAGGAACAATCTTTAATAGTGGATAATTCTTCAGGCTCTATTCACAGAAATGACATACATGTACAAAATAATGTAAGACCCTCGCAAAAATTACGTTCAAAATGGTGTTCCGCTTTATAACATAGACTAGTATTCAAATCATAAAGAACTTACTGCTGATTAAAAGATCTTTAAGAATGTTTAGGGTGTTGTAAAATGTTCTCTGCTCAGTACCGATAAGAATTAAGATATTCTGATTTTTATTGCACGTGTCTTTCAATAATTTACTTTGTAAAATAAAAAAAATCTTTATACCTAAAACTAGGTCTATATTAACCATAAAGATATCACTATATGTCTTTTTATTATCTGGTTTGCAATTAAATGATTTTATTTTTTCAAATAACATTTTTCAGCACGAATTTCTCGTGCAAAGTATTTCAAAAATTACTTTGCACTCACCAGTTATTTGCCGGTGGATTATTTACATTCTCGCATTAACGAGTATTTTGCAGGTTTTCACCTACTTGAGCTGTGAAGCTCGATTACGAATGTTTATTTTATTTAGTCTTTTAAGTCAAATCGCAGTTATATGGCTACTTTCCAGGGGTATTTTTGTGTGTTTTTTTTCTTTGTTTATTGAGGGGTGGGGGTGAGGGGAGATAGGGTTTTTTTACTTCTTTTTTTTTATTTATTTATTTCTTTTTCTTTTTATTTATTGATACATTTATTTATTTATATTGTTTTGACGGGGTTTGAACTTACATGGCTAGCAATCCTAGCAATGGCTATTTCGACGGGTTAACCACTCGGCCATGCCGCCTAGAGATTTTGAGACAGCAACTTTAGCCACTTGGCCCAAGAAAATCCCATATAAAAACTAAAGAAAGGCAAAAAGAAAAATTGTTAAAAAAAGGAGATTTATGTTTTGAAATGTCGAAAGTAGTTTAATGAACATTTTCATAAGCGGCGTGAGTGATAATAATAAGTTTGAAGTTTAATTTTCTAACAGTGAAAAGGTTCTTACCAGTAAACCACATACACGTAAAATTATATTCAAAGTGAAAGTAGGAGGCTTATTCTTAGAATATAGATGCAAGAGTTAAGATCCTTATCATAATATTATGATGTGGGTGTTGACAGGGAAAAACTATGCTATGAAATACCTTAAGAAATGAAAAAGAACGAGGACAAAGTTTCCACTTTTAAATGAAACTTCAAGTTCATATATGCAATTATTCTTGAATTATGACTTTGTCAAAGTACACATAATTGAGCAATTTTATATAGATCTTGAACTTACCGGCATATTAAGCAACCTGAATAACCACTATGTATATAAATTGATCAGTAGGCCCATAAAGACTGTATCAAATAACTTTACGTTATAAAAAGAAATACAAAAATGAAAACTGGAATTGTGGAGTACGGAAGCCTATTAGTGCCACCTAAAGTTATTGAAAATTGAATAACGACTGATATGACGTTACGGAGGGTAGGAATGTGTTTTAAACCCCATTTTATATAATGAACTAACACAGTTAAACTAATTTAGCAAATTATTTCCTTATTGCTTTCATATGAATGCTGCCAGTGGGGGATATTTATGCCAGTTATTAGATCGCCTGTCATACATAACTTCTTTGGATAAGATATACGTTTTTATTAGTTTGTCTTCAGCAAAAAAAAAATAGTATAGAGAAAGTGATCACTGTCGGTAAGACACTTATTTATAATGAGTAGTTACAAAAAACATTACCCCTCAGACAGCCTTTTTTTAATTCTTTAGAACAACTGGAAAAGTAGCACTGAACATGCAATGAAGTGCAGTAAAGGTATCAAAATGTATGCAAGTAGTATTTTACAAAGTACACTTGTAGTAATTATATGTACCATTTGCCAACAAAGCAAAACCAGCATATAATAGTTAATACAAGGTTATAAAAATAAAAAGTTTTGAGAAATAATTTTAGCATTTTTACGGCATAATGGGTCTTTAATCAAAAGCATTTTAAATGCCAAAGGTTGGAACACTTTAAGTTTAGTTAAATTATATTTTATTGCAACTAATCTTAACATAAATGTATTAAAGTTACATAAATGATACAAAAACAAATATAACAACAGATATTATATCTCTTTCGGTACTTTTCATGCAATTATTTTTAAAGGCCTGTTACACAAAATATAAAAATCTTATGTCGTGAATTAATTAATAACTCAGGGGGAAAGTCCTGTATATAAGTTTACAGGACAACTGAATAGAGTTAAGTTCATTTAAGGCAATTTACATCTTTTTTAATTAGTTTGATATACTCAAAAATAATAAAAAGCCACTTAAAAAGTTCATGTATATTCTAATTTTCATTGGAAATTTTAATAAATAAATAAATAAATAAAATAAATATTTTCTTTAAATGATTACCTGATCATTCATATCATTTATCCAAAACACTCCGCTGTTACGGTGTATCATACCCATTTACACCGTTGTTACGGTGTATCACATTTATTTTATTTTCAAATACGTTTGATATATCTTATATTTATGTACCCGTTCTTTCGTTACTCAATATCTATGCCTATTGTGATGTTTTACCATTCCGTTTTATATGAAATATAGACGCAAATTAGACTTTTTACAATGAAAAGAAATCGTTACTTATAAATTAGTTCCATTCATTAAGCAATTATTACGCGTAGTGATTCATGTGATCTGTTTTACTTATATTTACGAAATAAATACCAGAACCCTGTTGCAACTGATTTAAACAATTTGCAAAAGTTATTTTTAGATCGTGTAAACTCTGCACGTGCATAAAGTTGTAAAGGGAATGTTGCAATAGTTTAACATTGTTACATACATTTTGTATTTATTTTCTTACATTTTTTTTATTATTTCATTCCCGAATGTACCTGGCAAAATATAGATGACGGTATACGATCTGCAATTTTCTGGTCAGTTACGTAATTTTTCCAGTTACTTACAACGCCCAAAGACCACTATATTGTAATAGCACCTTTTATAAGCCTGTTTGAGGCTGACTATAATTAATAAGTATCTAGCGCACCGTTTGAAAATATAAAAGTAACGTTAGCTCTGACCTTCTCTTTACCAATTACTGGGTAAATAAACGTGTTTACCGTGTTGGAACCTCCAAAAAAGTAAAAGAAAAAAGAAAGAACAAAAGATTTAAGGTGATTTCGAGATAGATAAATAAATATCGATAAAAAACGTAATTTCCTTGGACTTCTTTAACATTTTTTAACATATTAGGACTGTATAATAGTCCAGTCCCGTCATGTCAAAAAAGCTTCAGCGGAGTCCCTTTAAGGCAGATTGTAAAAAAATTTGTTTACCACCGATCCTAATCCATGTACTTATAGAAGTACACAAACAAATAACTGTACTCAATAAAGTTAGGGGATGAATGAATGAATTGTGGGATGTTGGTTCAAAATAAAGCAATTCGTTTATGCCAGAAATGCTCATTAAAATACAAGGGTTAGGTACATACATCATATAACCGTGAGGTACAAATATCAACTAAAGTACAATTCAACTAATCTTGTTATTATTTCCTCTTTCATCATAATTATTCTATTATATAGCTAATTGAACGCCTTATTACTGGAAAATGATAATTTCTCGTTTCATCTTTCCTAAGGTAAAGCCGTAAAAAGTACCTTTTGACCCCTGTCAACCATAAACCTATAAAGGACTAAATTGCTAAAATGTTATCAATCTTAAACAATATTTATTTTATGTATTTAGGCTTATGAATAACAAAATGTACTGCATTCACCTAAAACGTAAATGACGTGACGTCACGTGATCATCACTGACGTCATAACAAGGTACTACTTGAATTGAATTATAATATACCAAACGAACCTACCACAAAATGTATACGAAAAAACAGTACCCTTTGATATTAATTATGTTGTGTTTTTTGTGTGTGTTGTTGTTTTTTCTTGTTTTCCCCCAACATTACATTACAAAGTGTTGAAGACGAGACAACGAAACAAAAAACATTTCAATAAGGTCGATGCCCTCTATCTTAATAATGTACTCAGGCTAATTAAGATGTTACAACAAGATTTCCATGGAATGCCTTTATATGTTTTGCTCTATCTTTCTAATCTGCTAATGCTATTGCTTTTTTGCATCAGAAAACCATTATGCTGTAAGTCTGAGCTGTTTGAACAGACGGATTTTTTTTTCTCATTTATTTACTTTCAGACCGGAAACAGAATCTGTCCATGCCACCAGTGCAGACTAACATCAGCTGTCGTATCATGGTCTGCACTATTCGTCATTTAGTCCACACATAATAAGAAAATTGCCGTAAATTGATGAATGGTAGACCAAAGTGATTTGCCGCATTTGCGGTTCCTTGCTTCTAGATAAAGAGGAATGAGTGTTGACCTAGAGGTTCAAGGCTTCAATGTCAATCATGAGTGGTTTTTAGCGGTTTATGGCAACTAGTTAGTTGAGCGAGAGGTTACTTAGCGGTTTCAGACTGCTAGTTAAGATGAACACGGTGTCGGACTATAAGTTGAGCTAATGGTGGCCTTAACGTTTAGGCTACTAATTAAAGATTAGCCAGTGCAGACCTTACAATTTAAAAGTGAGCCAGTAGTGACCTAATGGTTTCAGGCTATTAGCTAAAGGCAAGCGAGTGGTGACCTTGCAGTTTCAGGCTACTTGTTAAAGGTGAGCTAGCAGCGGTCTGCAGTCAGTTACCGTTGGTCTTGTGGTTTTGCGCAATTTGTTAAAGATAAGCTGGTGAAAAACTTGGCGGTAGCATGTTAATACCGCTTGACGAATGACCGGTGGTCTTGTCCTACATCCTACATGTTAAAGGTGAAGTACTAGTGACCTGCGTGTATTATGCTACCAGCTCGAGGCGGTTGACCGGTGGGCTTTAGCTTCGTGCTACTTGCTAAAGGTGAACGACAACTGACCTAATAATTCCATGCTACGAGCCAGAAGTTAGCGAAAGGTTAAAAATGAATGAAATAAATATTTGATTTAAGAAATATGAAATAGTTCAATTACATCAGATGTGCACATTTGATTTTTTTATGAAAATAGTTCCCGATGAATATGCAAATCCAAAAGAAATACAATAGTAAAATAGTACATACGTGTTTATACCTGTATGGTGCCTTTTCGCAAGCAAACCTAGGTTACTAAAATGTCTGCACCATTTTTTTGTTAAATCAAAGATTTTTTCCCCCTAAAATATTAATTTCCCATAAACGTTAGTTCTTACTTATCTTATTTTCACTTACATGTAATAAAATGTACACTTACAGTTAAATGTGTTTAACATTAGATTAATGCTTTTTAATATCCTTTGGTTACAGTTTTGGAAATCTTTCAAAAATAAGTTCAATTTTCCAAATTTAAATTATTTACTAATGTGAATTTCAAATACATAGAGGATATTTAAGTTTTTTCTATAAATACATGATTTATTTTCATCAAGTGGTATGAAAATACATATTTCATGAGTGGCGGTAGCCACGAGTGAAATATGGTAATTTTCATGCCACAAGATGAAAATTAATCATGTATTTATAGAAAAACCTTGAATTTTCTGTTTATTATATACATTTTTCTCTTTTTTGACATTACAATTTCAAAGACTTTCCCTTAAATTTTGTGCACTGGCAGAATTTAAAAGAAAGTAGTCCGGCAAGACACCAGTGAAAATACGGAAAATATGATTCACTGCAGTGAAAAATAGATTTCTACAGTGAAAATACGGAAAATGAAAATACGCATTTTATTTCATCAATATTTCTCAATATTTCATTTATAAGTATGTAATAAATAGAGGATATTTGTTTAGTTCAGTGTAAGATTGGAATATATTTCACCGAGTGAGCACCAAAAGGTATATTTCACGAGTGGCGCAGCCACGAGTGAAATATGAACTTTTGGTGTTCACAAGGTGAAATATATTTCGATCTTACACTAAACTAAACAAATTTTCTTTTTATTATATGCAAGGAAACGTTTTAAAAAGACATTAAACCTAATACTGAATGAAAGCGCGCCAAATAATAATACAACGTGACGTCATTTACGACGTCACGTCATGAAGTTGGTACCCAGTACTGTGCACGCTGGTATTTCACTGAAACAACGTAAGGGGCTAAAATTCAAAACAGTGAAATTATCCAAGTGGTAATTTCACTGTTTCAAACAGTGAAATTACCAGTTTTATTTCACTGATATATTTCTATAAACCACCGAAAAGCATGTAATAAAAGGACATCTCTACCACCCGAATCATTTATTTATTTATTTATATATTTATTTATTTTTTTTTTTTTTTATTATTTATTTTTTTTATTTATTATTTAAAAAAAATTATTTATCTATTTTATTTTTTTTTTTCGGATAAAAATTTCAAGTTGCTTTTGGCATAAACAGAAAAGTTATTGTTAAGTTATGGCGTATATTTCCTTCCATAGATTAATACTACCAAGTACTCCGCTATTAAGGTGTATCAAGGTCATTTGCAGTTAAAATATAAATATCGAAATCTTCACGAAAACACACTTAATAAAACATATTTACTTCTTTTTATTGTATATACTACAAGTATACTAGAATTCAACGAAAACAAATTATATGAAATAACTCGAGTACATTTACTTTTGATATATCGTCGAAGATATATGAGCCGCGCCATGACAAAACCAACATCCATGCTGGTCGCAAACCCACTATGTTGGTTTTGTCGTGACGTGGCTCAAATCTATATCCTTATCACGTTTCCTAGATAAAAATCCAAATTTAAAATTTTGCAGAAGCCTACGGCGTTAATTTTGTTGTCAGTTGAGAAGATTGGTTATTGCCAGAATTCGTGAGAACATATTAACGTAATAACAATATTACAGGTGAAGATACTGATCATAATAAGTGTATTATACGAAAAATAAAGTAAGGAGTGCTTTTTCAAAATTTATTAACATTTATTGGAAAAAGTAAACCGGATTTCCGCCGTATTCACCGGAAAACATGTTTGGCGGGAAAAAATAAAGTAGTCCGACACTATGCATCGCGTGACTTTATTTTCAAAAAAAAAATCCAAACTTGTCATAGGATAGATATTTCATATCATTATATATAATTTTGTTTTGATTTTCAGATAACAAAATATAAGAAGTATGTTAAATATGTACCCATATATTTTTAGAACCTGTATTTGGATCTATATATCGTGTCATCATGCAACTTTTGTAATGTGGACATTGATATTGTTGCTTTATCTGACGTAAGTTGGTGTAGATGTGTGAAGTTTTATATAGTAGGCTCAATTTCGTATTTGTAGTTTATTAGACAGTGATAAACATAGGGGTCAATTCAATGAGAATGCCAAAGACTTGATGATAAGCCTGTTTTGAAAATAAGTCACCATTTTCTTATTGTTAAATATTTCATTATTTTTTTTCATTTAAACAATCTTTCCTAATCAGGAAATTGCTAAGTAAACCGGTAAGTGTATCTGTATATAATTCTTGGTCATGCAATATCTGATATATTACAATAAAACACTGGAAAACATGAAATAAATATACAAGCAGTAGGAAAAAAAGTTTTGTAACGAAATCAAGATAAGAATTTTTAAAGGAACCAGGCGTGCGTTTCATAGAAAAGTCTAAAACATAAGGCTAAAATTAGAACTGAAACAAGATATGCTCTAGTACCTAGAAATAGTCCTAACATTTTACTTAGGACAAAATTTT